TGTCTTGAGTCAATAAGTATTCAACCCCTTTGTTATGGCAAGCCTAAATAAGTTCAAGAGTAAAAATGTGCTTAAGAAATCGTATAATAAGTTGTGGTAATAGTGGTTAACATGATTTTTGAATGACTACCCCACACATACAATTATCTGTAAAGTCCCTCAATCGAGTAGTGAATTTCAAGCAAAGACTCAACCACCAAGACCAGGGAGGTTTTTCAATGCCTCGCAAAGATGGGCAACAATTGGTAGATGTGTTAAAAAATGTTGACTACAAGAATGTCCACCAGAGCTGTTGCCAGATCATTTCTCTACCATAAGCCGCCTCCAACGTCATTTTAGAGAATTTGGCAGTACGTCCAACCGGCCTCACAACCACAGACCACGTGTAACCACGCCAGCCCAGGACCTCCACATCCGGTTTCTTCACCTGCGGAATCATCCGAGACCAGCCACCCAGACAGCTGATGAAACTGAGGAGTATTTCTGTCTGTAATAAAGCCCTTTTGTGGAGAAAAACTCGTTTTGATTCGCCGGGCCTGGCTCCCCAGTGGGTTTGCTTGTTTCCCCAGGGGGTGGGCCTATGCCCTCCCAGGCCCACCCATGGCCGTTCCCCTGCCCAGTCGTGAAATCCATAGATTAGGGCCTAATTTATTTATTTCAATTGACTGATTTCCTTATATGAACTGTAACTCAGTAAAATCGTTGAAATTGTTGAATGTTGCATTTATATTTTTGTTCAGTACAATCCAGGTGTGCAAAGCTCTTGGAGACCCAAAAAGACTCACAGCTGTAATCGCCGCCAAAAGGTGCTTCTACAAAGTATTGACTCAACGGTGTGAATACAAACGTAAATGAGATATTTCTGTATTTCATTTTTCAAAACATTTGCAAAAAACTCTAAAAACATGTTGTTTTCACTGTCATTAGGGGGTATTGTATGTAGATGGGTCAGATGTTTTATTTTATCAATTTTGAATTCAGGCTGTAACAACAAAATGGAATAAGTCAAGAGGTATGAATACTTTCTGAAGGTACTATATATGCTGAGGAAAACCTAATATATTGAGTCAAACAAATTGACAAAGAAATGAGTTCTGCCTGAGCCTTAGAATAGCAAAACCTCACTCTCTTAGTCTTTCCTGGTGTAGCTAGATATACTTCCATCAGTCTTTAACACACACACAGCAGGAACTGTCAATCACCCTCTCCCTCCAATCACACACTAACGAGACGCTAATTGGGCCGCTTGCTGACACTTATATCACACAGAACACACGCAGCAGCCACCACACACACACACACTGCAGCAACCACTAAAGCCTTGTTCACACTGGCAGTTTGAAGTGACTCAAATACAATTTTTTTGCATATCTGATTTGAATCTGGTCTTCTTCCTGCCAAAAAGCATATGTAATCAGATATTTCAAGCCACAAATCTGAATCCTGGCCATGCGGCTTGTGTCTAAACGGTCAAATCTGATTAATTTGGTTTTTAGACTGTTATTTGGCATATCTTGTTGCGTTTATATTTTTGTTGCATACATACATACATACATACATACATACATACATACATACATACAGAACAAAAATATAAATGCAACATCTAAAGTGTTGGTCCCATGTTTCATATGCACAAAAAGCGTATTTCTCTCAAATGTAGTGACCAACCATGCTCAATGGGTGACGTGTCTGGTAAGTATGCAAGCCATGGATGAAGTGGGACATTTTCAGCTTCCAGGAATTGTGTACAGATCCTTGTGACATGGGGCCAAGCATTATCATGCTAAAACATGAGGTGATGGCGGCGGATGAATGGCACGACAATGGGCCTCAGGATACGGTATCTCTGTGCATTCAAATTGACATCAATAAAATGCAATTGTGTCCGTAGTTTATAGCTTATGCCTGCCCATACCATAACCCCACAGCAACATGATGCACTTGGTTCACAACGTTGACATCAGCAAACCGCTCGCCCATACGATGCCATCTGCCCGGTACAGTTGAAACCGGGATTCATCCGTGAAGAGCACACTTTTCCAGCATGCCATAGGCCATCGAAGGTGAGCATTTGCCCACTGACAGTATTTGCAGAAATGTTATGTTTGTGCAAACCCACAGTTTCATCAGCTATCTGGGTGGCTGGTCTCAGATGATCCTGCAGGTGAAGAAGCCGGATGTGGAGTTCCTGGGCTGGCGTGGTTACACGTGGTCTGCGGTTGTGGGGCCGGTAGAAGTACTGTCAAATTCTCTAAAACGACGTTGGAAGCAGCTTATGGTAGAGAAATGAGAATTAAATTCTCTGGCAACAGCTCTGGTGGACATTCCTGCAGTCAGCATGCCTATTGCACGCTCCCTCAAAAACTTGAGACATCTGTGTCATTGTGTTGTTATTGTCCCAAGCACAAGGTGCACCTGTGTAATGATCATGCTGTTTAATCAGCTTCTTGATATGCCACACCTGTCAGGTGGATGGATTATCTTGGCAAATGAGAAATGCTCACTAACAGAGATGTAAACAAATTTGTGCCCAACAGTTGAGAGAGAGAAATACACTTTTTGTGTGCATGGAACATTTCTGGGATCTTTTATTTCAGCTCATGAAACATGAGACAAACACTTTAAATGTTGTGTTTATATTTTTGTTCAGTATATAGAGATATACTTTATATCTATCTATACACACACACACACACACAAAGAGCAGCCCCAGCAAAATACACACATATACGGAAACGGATAATCAGAGGTTCCTCTTCCTCTATTAAACTAGCTGATCAGTTAAACAACAAATTAGCTTCTTCAGTAAAAAGCCACTGATAGAAAGAGTGATTTCCACATTTAAAAAGGGGCAACTTAATTCATTTTGGGTTTTGAAGTGCATAAACACACACTACCCTCTCTTGAGTCTCCCGAGTGGCGCAGTGGTCTTTTATTTTTTTGCAATGCCAGGGTTGTGGGTTCGATTCCCACAGGGGGCCAGTATGAAAAAAATAAAAAAGATAATGTATGCACTAAATGTAAGTCGCTCTGGATAAGAGCGTCTGCTAAATGACTAAAATGTAAAAATGTAAATGTTAGCCCCGCTGGCTGTAAAAGGCCTGCAGATGTTTCAGCCTCATTTATGCAAATCCAATATCACAGCTCAGCCACAACAGAGCAGTCGCTCTCTCTCCCTCTAAATCATTTTTAAACACTATTTGTTTACACTCTCCCTGCTTTTCTCTCCTCTGCAAGACCATGATTCACAGACACAAAATCACACACACACAGCTAAGCCTGGATAACCACTGGCACGGCATCCTAGACACACCAGTCTTGCACAATCACAGTGAAAACATATTTGCATATTTACACGTAGCATGTGTCAACCCAGCCTGGATTTCATACAATGCAACAGCACCCCACACACGACAATACCTTTTACTATATACACCCCCCAGTCAGACAGACAGAACACAGGAGATAGCAGAGGGGGAACATTCATCTGTACTCTATGATGCTCCCAGTTAATTTCACTGAGTTATCTAGTCCTTCCAACCAACAGGTCTGAGACAGGGGGATGCCCTCCTCTTCCTGCTCTGATTGGCTGGCAGCCGACACCTGGGATCTCACCTGTTCAGGTGACTTCCTGTACCCGGTGCCAGACACACACCACGCCCTGGAGATAACACACACACGGAACGCACAGAACTCTTGGAACTCAGGATAACGGCTAAATATAGCGCTGTGACGCCATGGGAGAAGTTTGTGACATACAGGTAACTGCCAAAATAATGGAAACACTTGAGTAAATGAGGGATACAAAGTATATTGAAAGCAGGTGCTTCCACACAGGTGTGGATCCTGGGTTAATTAAGCAATTACCATATCATCATGCTTAGGGTCACGTATAAAAATGGTCAGTGCTATCCGGGATCCTTGGGAAGTCCCTAACCTTAACCATTTCAATTGCGTAGAGATGTCCCAAGGATCACAGATAGCATGTACCGAATGAAAATGCTGGGCAGGCCATTATTTTGGCTACCATGGATATGCCACCATAGAAATACAATGCCCCCAACCACAGGGCACGAGTGGTCACAATGTTTTCATGCTCATCAAACCAATGTAAACCATATGCCATGGCAGTCTCAGTCACCAGATCTCAACCCAATTTAACACTTTTGGGAGATTCTGAGACAGCGTTTTCCACCACCATCAACAAAACACTAAATGATGGAATTTCTTGTGGAAGAATTGTGTCACATCCCTCCAACAGAGTTCCAGACACTTGTAGAATCCATGCCAAGGTGCATTGAAGCTGTTCTGGCTCGTGGTGGCCCAAAGCCCTATTAAGACACTTTATGTTGGCGTTTCCTTTATTTGGGCAGTTACCTGTACATACACCTCACTAACACACACACTCATACGCACACACACACAGAGTTATGAGTGAGCTCTTGTTCCTTGTGAATGTGAGCCATGTAAAATGTTTACAGTGAACTCTTCGACTGTTCCGCATCCTTAACAACTCACACATTATCCTCGGCTGTAGCATACACACGTCTTTCTCTCTCTCCCCCTATCAATGTGCCGGTCTCTAACCATTTTCAACTCAACAGATCTAGCTAGTAATGGCGTCTTATAAAGAAATACTTGCTGTAGTGACGCACAATGGCATTCAGGGCCTTCACTCTCCTCACCTCCCCACTGTTATGTTGTACTGGCATGTTTAGCACATGACTATGATCACAGCACTCACCATGTCCTTCATTGTCATGATATAGATGTGGCCATCACTGCACCGGGAAGAGAAACGTGTGTTACTCCAAAACCTGCAGGCAAAAGAAACAGAAAAGGTTACACGAGACACACACACAGCTGACTCACGAGTGACACATCTGCTGTCTGAGCCTGGGCACGGTGCCGTGTGTGTCGGCCAGGCGGGCAGCAGGACTGGCACTGAGCAGCTTTTCTGCTGCTCTGATCTCTGGCTCACACACTTCATCACACATTTTCCCTCTCTCTCTACCTCTCTCACACACACACACCTCTCTCTCTACCTCTCACACACACACACCTCTCTCTCTACCTCTCACACACACACACACCTCTCTCTCTACCTCTCACACACACACACACACCTCTCTCTCTACCTCTCACACACACACACACACCTCTCTCTCTACCTCACACACACACACCTCTCTCTCTACCTCACACACACACACCTCTCTCTCTACCTCTCTACCTCACACACACCTCTCTACCTCTCTGGCTCTCACACACACACCTCTCTCTACCTCTCACACACACACACACACCTCTCTCTCTACCTCTCACACCTCTCTCTCTACCTCTCACACACACACACACACCTCTCTCTACCTCTCTGGCTCTCACACACACCTCTCTCTCTACCTCACACACACCTCTCTCTCTACCTCTCACACACACACACACCTCTCTCTCTACCTCTCACACACACACACACCTCTCTCGCTACCTCTCTCACACACACACACACACCTCTCTCTACCTCACACACACACACACCTCTCTCGCTACCTCACACACACACACACCTCTCGCTCTACCTCACACACACACACACCTCTCGCTCTACCTCACCACACACACACACCTCTCGCTCTACCTCACACACACACACACCTCTCCCTCTACCTCACACACACAACAACACCTCTCGACTTCTACCTCACACACCACCACACACCTTCTCGCTTATAATTCTCTAACCTCACACACACCTCTCGCTCTACCTCTCTACCTCACACACACCTCTCTCTCTACCTCTCTGGCTCACACACACCCTCTCTCTCTACCTCTCTGGCTCACACACACACACACACCTCTCTCTACCTCCACACACACCTCTCTCTCTACCTCTCTGGCTCTAACACACACACACACACACACACCTCTCTCTCTCTACCTCACACACACACACACACCACACACACCTCTCTCTCTACCTCACACACACCTCTCGCTCTCCTACCTCTCTACCGCCACAACACACCTCTCTCTCTACCTCTCTGGCATCACACACACCTCTCTTCTCTACTCTCTGGCTCACCACACACTCTCCTCTCGGTCACACCACACACCTCTCTCTCCTTTACCTCACCACACACACACTCTCTCTCTCTACCTCACACACAACACCCCTCTCTGAACCTCTCTACCTTCACACACACACCTCTCTACCTCCTACCTCTCACACACACACACCTCTCTCTCTACCTCTCTGGCTCTAACACACACCTCTCTCTCTACCTCACACACACCTCTATCTGTTTCTGTTTGAGTGTGTAATATAATTAGTAGCCTATGATGTTACAAAGCACACACTAAGATACAGCAACTCACACACTATCACTTTCCCTAACACACACACTTATATCCATCGCAAATACTGGTACACACACAAACAGCACAGAAGTTGATAACAGACTGAAGTTAAATCCTTAACATTCTTTGTTTATTCATGGGGTAGGTAATATACACTACCAGTCAAACGTTTGGACACACCTACTCATTCAAGGGTTTTTCTTTATTTTTACATTGTAGAATTATAGTGAAGACATCAAAACTATGAAATAACACATATGGAATCATATAGTAACCAAAAAAGTGTTAAACAAATCAAAATATATTTTATATTTGAGATTCTTCAAATAGCCACCCTTTGCCTTATGACAGCTTTGCACTCTTGGCATTCTCTCAACCAGCTTCATGAGGTAGTCACCTGGAATGCATTGAAATTAACAGGTGTGCCTTGTTAAAAGTTAATTGGTGGAATTTCTTTCCTTCTTAATGCGTTTGAGCCAATCAGTTGTGTTGTGATAAGGTATACAGAAGATAGCCTTATTCGGTAAAAGACCAAGTCCATATTATGGCAAGAACAGCTCAAATAAGCAAAGAGAAACAACAGTCCATCATTACTTTAAGACATGAAGGTCAGTCAATATGGATCATTTCAAGAACTTTGAAAGTTTAAGTGCGGTCGCAAAAACCATTACATTTACATTTGTCATTTTAGCAAACACTCTTATCCAGAGTGACTTACAGTTAGCGCGTATGAAAAAATGTATGCACTATGATGAAACTGGCTCTCATGAGGACCGCCACAGGAATGGAAGACCCAGAGTTAACTCATTAGAGTTACCAGCCTCAGAAATTGCAGCCCAAATAAATGCTTCACAGACTTCAAGTCACAGACACATCTCAACATCAACTGTTCAGAGGGGACTGTGTAAATCAGGCCTTCATGGTCGAATTGCTGCAAAGAAACCACCACTAAAGGACACCAATAAGAAGAAGAGACCTGCTTGGGCCAAGAAACACGAGCAATGGACATTAGACTGGTGGAAATGTGTCCTTTGGTCTGGAGTCCCGTGTAGCTCAGTTGGTAGAGCATGGCGCTTGCAACGCCAGGGTTGTGGGTTCGATTCCCACGGGGGGCCAGTATGAAAATGTATGCACTCTAACTGTAAGTCGCTCTGGATAAGAGCATCTGCTAAATGACTCAAATGTAAATATGTCCAAATTGGAGATTTTTGCTTCTAACCGCCGTGTCTTTGTGAGATGCGGTGTGGGGGAACGGATGATCTCCGCATGTGTATTTCCCACCGTAAAGCATGGAGGAGTAGGTATTATGGTGTGGGGGTGCTTTGCTGGTGACACTGTCTGTGATTTATTTAGAATTCAAGGCACACTTAACCAGCATGGCTACCACAGCATTCTGCATCTATACGCCATCCCATCTGGTTTGGGCTTAGTGGGACTATCATTTGTTTTTCAACAGGACAATGACCCAACACACCTCCAGGCTGTGTAAGGGCTATTTTACCAAGAAGGAGAGTGATGGAGTGCTGCATCAGATGACCTGGCCTCCACAATCCCCCGACCTCAACCCAATTGAAATGGTTTGGGATGAGTCGGACGGCAGAGTGAAGGAAAAGCAGCCAACAAGTGCTCAGCATATGTGGGAACTCCTTCAAGACTGTTGGAAAAGCATTCCAGGTGAAGCTGGTTGAGAGAATGCCAAGAGTGTGCAAAGCTGTCATAAAGGCAAAGGGTGGCTATTTGAAGAATCTCAAATATAAAATATATTTTGATTTGTTTAACACTTTTTTGGTTACTACATGATTCCATATGTGTTATTTCATAGTTTTGATGTCGTCGCTATTATTCTACAATCTAGAAAATAGTAAAAATAAAGAAAAACCCTTGAATGAGTAGGTGTGTCCAAACTTTTGACTGGTACTGTAGGTGGATAGAATATTAATCCAATGCTTCAGACTGCAACTCCAGTGCTTTCAACACACTAGCTCCTGTCTCCTCCAGTGCTTTCAACACACTAGCTCCTGTCTCCTCCAGTGCTTTCAACACACTAGCTCCTGTCTCCTCCTGTGCTTTCAACACACTAGCTCCTGTCTCCTCCAGTGCTTTCAACACACTAGCTCCTGTCTCCTCCTGTGCTTTCAACACACTAGCTCCTGTCTCCTCCAGTGCTTTCAACACACTAGCTCCTGTCTCCTCCAGTGCTTTCAACACACTAGCTCCTGTCTCCTCCTTTGCTTTCAACACACTAGCTCCTGTCTCCTCCAGTGCTTTCAACACACTAGCTCCTGTCTCCTCCCCCCTCCCTCAGCCATGTTCTCCCTCCATCCCTCAGGTCGCTCCCACACTCTGGTCACATTCCTCCATAGCTCATGCCGTGAGGACTCCCTGCGGCTCAAAGCATTGTGGGAAATCCCAACAGTCGAAGGGAGCCTTCGGAGGCCCTGTGCCCCACAGAGACAGACAGAACACACACTCCTCTCTACTCCCAAGGAACTGGATAGGCCAGGCTAAATGTAGGCAACATTGAAATAGCACAAAGCAAATATTTAAAATATATGCCATTTGATGTGCAAAACAAGAAAATGTGTCGGTACGTTACACACATAGAAACATTCCAGTCTATCATGCAAACATTTATGATGTTTTGTCGTACAGCTGGATATGGTGATGTTAAATGTAAGTGGTCCATTTCTATACTGTACACCTCCCCTCCCCCAATCATTTTCTGGTGAGCAGCAGGAGCATGAAGTAATGCCTGAAGGAGAGAGACCATGTAATTGATTAGTGATCCTGGGGAATGGGAGGCGCATGGGGACAGAAAGCAGATTTAGCTGAGCTCAGAAACAGAATATGCAATGTGGCCTGTCTGGCTGGTGTCTCACATACAATACTGTACACTGTACATACTGCACACATGTCTCCAATAAGGTCCTACTGACCAAATGTTTACAATAAAAAGGTACAGAGGTCATATTTGCGCAAGTAATTATTATCTTTGATGATCACACACACGCACACACAACCTCCTCCTCTCCTCTCTTTTAGGCCAACATTAGCACTGTGGAGAGAACATGAGTCAGGGTCTGTCCCTGAATTACCCCACTTTAACCTGGTGTTTCATTCCCATGGAATTTTTAAAAGCATTACGTTACAGGCCCATTCTAAAATTGATGAAATTTAGTTTTTTCATCAATCTACACACAATACCCCATAATGACAAATAAAAAAAACAGGTTCTTGCAAATACTGAAATATCACATTTACATAAGTATTCAGACCCTTTACTCAGTACTTTGTTGAAGCACCTTTGGCAGCGATTACAGCCTCGAGTCTTCTTGGGTATGACGCTACAAGCTTGGCACACCTGTATTTGGGGAGTTTCTCCCATTCTTCTCTGCAGATCCTCTCAAGCTCTGTCAGGTTGGATGGGGAGCGTCGCTGCACAGCTATTTTAAGGTCTCTCCAGAGATGTTTGATCGGGTTCAAGTCCGGGCTCTGGCTGGGCCATTCAGAGACTTGTCCTGAAGCCACTCCTGCATTGTTTTGGCTGTGTGCTGAGGGTCATTGTCCTGTGAACCTTCGCCCCAGTCTGGGGTCCTGAGCGCTCTGGAGCAGGTTTTCATCAAGGACCTCTCTGTACTTC